CCCTCACACCCCCCCACCAACACCCACCAACCCCCCCGCCGCGGGGGGGGGGGGGGGCCCCGGCCCGAGGTACTCTTAAAGTCCCGAGATCAATTCTAGACACATGCAAACATATTCGTTACTTTCTAGTTGGCACTCTCTACCACTAACTTTGTATCTAAATTGTTGATACCTAAATATTTTCTGATATTTTCATAGAGCGTAGACCTTTATTCATGACGATCTTCTGTGATGGTATGACCTCGTAGCTTAAGTCAAAGTAGGAAATCATTTATATCGAGTCAGATACTATCCTCTAACACGAACTTGTTCCGGTAACCCAAGGTCAACAAATATCAATCAGCTGCGAAGCTAAGCCAAGGAATTCACTCCGGACAAGATGTGATGTTTTTTGAATCTGACTTACGATTAGGCTACAGTAAAGAACTCTATTATGGAGGCATAGTCCATATTAAACATGCACTGCTGTTTCGACGATTACACTTCTGTTCGTTACTCTTATACTTATCTCTATGCTCACAAGTAACAAAAGCTACAGTGCAGTAGTATCAAATGAAATCAGACTCCAAAAACACTTATTTCATTATTCTTTCTGAGTTCTTTCATGGTTAGCTTGGACAGTATTGGTGCATGTGAGCCAAGCGAATGAGAGAATCAATTTTTTCCGAAAGAAGCGTATTATGGGTGAGGTTTCCGGAATATTTTCATGAATCTCTCTAGCAACCTAGCGATTATCTACAAATAATTTTATACCGCTCCTGTCACAATATTTAATTTTTTAACTAACCAATTATCGCCATACGGAGTGGAGCGAGCTGTATAAAACATGGCCACTCTACATTGGTATCACATATGCCTTCGATAGTTGATAACATATGATAGGCGATCCCGTATCTAACTACACATGATATCAGCGTAATTATTAGTTGTGTACTAAACAATGCTCGTGGTGATATTTTCATAAAATGACCGAATTTTAAGGTTCTCAAAAGAAATAATGCTTGAAATTGTGTTCCAAATGCATAAGTCACGAATGTTTTGTTACCGGTTCCATTACCGTGCATCAGAAGGCCGCCAATTATCAGACATAAGTAGCTAACATCCACTGCAATGTTTGTTCTTGCCCAAATAATACCCGTTGGTAGTAAACAAACAAATGACAGTGTTATTGCCAAAAATAAAAGATACCAAGGCATTAATTTACCGAATTTGCAAACAAAGCAAGCACAAACAAACGCACATAAAAACAATATACCGTAGACCCATCCTGGCGCATCCGGATATTTTGACATGAGAGTACAATGAATATCATTTTGGCGGTTTCTCAGTGACGTTTTAGCATGCCTCAAAACATCGGTGCCATGATAAAGAATTGTGTGCATAATCATTGCAACTAACGACGCAAAATAAAGCATGTAACTAACAATGATCCCAACACTGAAGCGAATTGGAGGATTATCCCCGTTGTAGTAGGTCCCATTACCAGCTAGAAGATTACTATCGGAAATTGGAAACGATTTAAAATTCCATAGATTTATATAATACATGATTGGCATTATTATCAAAATAACGAGAACGTAACCAGCTAAGATATTGTATTGGGCCCAACTAGGTGAGACAATGGGTGAACCAAGTCGTGATTGTAAACTATACCAATCCAGTTGTAGTGTACCCAATGCGAATCCTGCGCTACCAGTTAATTGTGCCAGAAGTACATTCTGTGGGTCTATCATACACATCCATGAAAAATTAGAAAGAACTGGCATGATGTAGCCAGGGAGCCAGTAATAAACTGCTGACAGTACAGTTGCAATAACGAAAAACTTCCATCGTGTCAAGTTCAGCCATTTTGAACTTAACTCGGCTTCGGGCTCGTGCACTGTACGCAAATAGGCAATAAACGGAAGATTATAGGGCCAAATCATGTCAGATGGCCACACCAAAAATCGACGCATCATACCTAATGTACAGATTTATACATTGCCAAGTAAGAAGATCTTCAAGAGAACTATTCTGTCAACTAAGACAACAAAGTATATACAAAGAGACATAAGGAGTGGGCGTTCAATAAAGATACTTTTATGATCTGTTCATAGAGAGCACGGTTGCCATACAGACATTTGAGAAAAAGTCCACCAAAGAAAAAGATCCTAGACATCATCTGATGACTCTTTGATTGAACTTCTACATTGTTGTTACCATCATGGTTCAATACGTTTTGTTCAAATGTTACGCCTACTTTACGTTAAACTGCTTTTATAGGAGACGAACGTGGCTTTGAGTGCTGATGTGGAAAATGAGGAGAACACCTCAGTTTGCAAATTTTACTATAGTATTTTGTGTATTTCTGGTTACACCATGTTCTACTCGAACTGTTCGGGGGTTTTGCACGGGAACACAGAGAAGCATTGAGCAGTACGCAGTCGATATGGTTGTGTATTTGATGTAAGCTCAAAAAGTTTAAACACAAGAAAGACTTGTTAAGATCGAGAAAAGTCTATCGCAAGGGCAGAACCTCTTATTCTTGAACTTGACCACATCGTATTCTTGAGAAAAGTCTGAGTAGAACATGTTGTATCCAAAGATGCACAAAATACTATAGTAAAATTTGTAAATTGAGATGTTATCCTCATTTTCCACATCAGCACTCAAAGCCACGTTTATTACCTGTAACGATAAAGTAGTCGAAAGTAACATAGGCACAACATTTGAACAAAATGTATTGAAAAAATATAATAACCATGATGAACCTTTATATGAGTCGACCGACACGGAAGAAATCTTGAATCTTCGCAAGTCTTTTTATCTCCTAAAACATTATCCTAAATTAGATTCATGCGACTTAATAAGACATTCGAACGCATGAAAATAGAAAAGTTTACGCTGCTAATGTGCGTGAACGCGTTAAAAGAACCAAAATAGTACCAAATAGTACCAATTCCAAAATAATATCTGAAGTCATAAAATCATAAGTCAGAATCTGATACATTGAAGAGTACATAGACTGCAGAGATCATCCCTGCTGTCTGTATTTGTTTTAGTCAAATTCTTTGTAAATTAGTCTCACAGCATAATTGAGCGATTTGCTAATAGTTTCCAGAAACTATCTATATATTCTATGATTCCGAGCGAAGCCAGTTTCTTCTAAAATTTGAACGAACAATGGTATCGTAGCGATACATCCTAAAGACAGGACCCCATCAGGTACAATCGTGCGATAAAGTAAAAGTTCATCTAACTATTCGTTTCTTACACAAATAAAGGTAATAATCTTACGCTAACGCATAATTTGTCTAAAAATGGCAAATTTAAGGCTTTCGAAGCCGGAGATATTAGTTCGTGTTAGCATACTCGAAGGAGTTAAAATGAAGGCTTATACCTTGTTCGATGTACTGCAATTTAATTACGAACGCCTTCACATCCCAAGCGTTAAAAAAAATCTAGTATTGCCCAATTCATCTAGATTACTAGATTTTTACCCGATTGCAACTATTTTGTAACGACGGGGGAAATCTAGTAATCGGGCGATTGCTAGATTTCTTCTAGTTGCAACTATCAATTTGTTGACCGATAATCGATCGATTTAACTATTGCTAGTTACACATGCAGACGCATCTAGTTAAAAGTCCCTTTTCCAACTAGTAATCTCGATGATAACTAGTCGTGTATCGCCCGATTACAGACGAAATGTATCTAGATTTTTCCCATAGGTGTAAAAAATACAGAACATTTTTCATTCCTTTGTACGCGTTTCACTTCTTAATGCATGCTAAGGCGTGATGTAATTATGAACATCTTCGCATATAATAAAAAGTGGAACGCATGTATACAAAGAATTTTTCATAGATGTGTAGGCATTCTAATTTTTGATGGGTCTGAAGGAGTGCAATGTAATGACAAAATTTCCTTAACTACGTTGCATCCATTTAAACGTTCGAAGGCATTCGCATACATTAAAATTTTTCTCATGCGAGGCAATCTATCTTTTACATTTTACCTTCCTCCCCTTCTATCTTTTCGTTGTTTCTGCTTTTCCTAGTGACTACTAATGACACACTAGGAGTATGAGATCAAGGTCCACACCGAGAGGATCCTGATACGGTCTTGGTTTCTATACACCTGAAACTTCGATTCTCTTAGTGTTCGAGGACTCTGATATAAATTTATAATTTAATTTTTATATGCAAAAGTGAGCGGAATATGTTAAATATCTGCGGGAATTCCACTTGTCAAACTTGACAAACTGTTCAAGACTACCAAGGCATTAATATATAATTTCAAGTATTAAGACATCAGAATCGATAAACATTTTTTAACGGCTATGAACGCATACACCGTCCTCAAAGTGCGAGTTTGAAAGGCGAAATATACGCATAGTTTTGGGAATCAAACGGATTCCAATGCATTAAAAATGAAATGCTTATTTTTAATGTACTCTAAGATATTATAACGCACTCAGAATATCGAATCGTGTAAAGGCTTAAAATTAGGCATGAGCGGTAACGGTAATTTACCGTCGGTAACGGTCGGTGAAAGATTTTTTTACCGAAGTTTACCGCGGTAAAATTTTTAAGTTTTTACCGTAAGCCGGTAACAATAATAAAATTATTTTTACCAATTTCTTTTGAAAATTGATTTTACTGAATTTTTACAACTACTGTTTTGAATTTTTGACTTTTTCGGTAAACTACCGTCGGTAATGGTAACACATTTTTACCGTTACCCCACATGTCTACTTAAAATGTATCAAAAGTAGAATTTGCAGCCTTAAAAGCCAGAAAAAAGTTTTTAATGCATGAGATGGACCTGCGATGGGGCATAGGATTTCGGACAGGGCAGATACCACAAATCAATCACAAGAAATTTTAACCATTAAAATGTTGAAGCATGTAATTTTTTGGCGTAGAAGTGATTTTTTCAGCTACGTAAATCTGAAAAAACAAGAAAACATCAGAAGAAATGATATTCATTTTTAGACACTACGTTGTTGGTACGTAATATTAATGGCACTAACAGCGCGAATGCAATCAGTTTTCTCTGAGTTCTCCTGTTCCGAGTTGGATGTTACGTTAAATTAGAAATAATTCCAAGCATTATATTCATGTAATCATGTATCTTTGAGCCTGGCATTAAGTTTGCACTTATCATATACGATAGAAGATAACAAGTCATTTTTATTTGCTTTCTAGTGCCGCGTCACCATTTTGAAAGTGGTTTTCGGTCGACTGCATCTGCTTCTAATCATTTTTGGATTAATGACTATACAGATCAAGGAAACGCTTAATGGAATCAACTGCAATTTATGGAACAAACTGGTTGTTTTTTATGTCTGTTTTTTATGTCTGTTTTTTAAGTATGTTGGCATTTACCGCTATGTGACATTTAGCGTATTTCTCACTTATGTTCTATCAGTAGTCGGGTAGACATTTTGAGAAAAGTAACGACGTGTGTCCAGGGTTAGCACCTGTTGCCACTAATCAGCAGTAGATTCAAGTTAGGAATATTGATGCGCCCCTACGAGGAAAGGTGTTAACCTCAGTGTTATAATTCGCCCTGTGTATAGACGGTTAAAGATAAGGAATTGTTTAAAGGTTGACTCGTAATTTGTGAACAAAAGCTTATAGTTGTAGTAAATAATAACGAAATTTAAATAAATACCGCCTGCTGATGCTCTTCGAGAGAGCGAAAGCTCGCAACAGAAAAAATTGCTTATATGTAATCATCTATACATTGAAGTTTATAAAAAACACTATTATTAAAGACTGATATACTTCGCTCTATTTGATTTATCGGAGAATCATTGATGCAAACCAATTTAAGATAGTAAACTGATTGGAATAAGTAAAACTGTGCATAATGTCAGACATTCTATAGTAGACACAGCATGAATCTTATTAGGTAAATAATTTAGCTGTAAAATCTTACCGGCTACTAAATATCATCAAGAAACAATAATTGTTCCCTCACGATGGAGAAAACACTCGAAAGAGCTCGAAATAAATAGCGTAACTGGATTACGATTAATACAGACAGCAAAGTAAGGTGCAACAATTCGATATTTCATTACTTATTCAAAGATCCCTACATTTTGATTAACAGAGTAATCGTTATCAGGGTACATAGAATAAATTGTAACGTTTAAACAGTTCTGCAACACCCTGATAGTGCTCACTTTATTAATCGAAATGTAGGAATCTTTGAGTAAGTAATGCAATCTCGAATTGTTCCACCTTAATTTGCTGTCTGTTTAAAAATTATAGTCCTTATGTTGCCTCCTATGCAAATGTTTCTGTGCTCTATGCCTTTGGTGGAGTTTCACAACAGCGGTGAACGATTATTTCTAAGAACTCATCTTTTACCTGCCATTCCGTAACCAAGAATTTGAGATGATAAAACAAACATTAGTCCAATACCAAAGCCTGTCTTTACAGAATCGTAAACTTGACGAGACGCGATGGTCTCGATTGCGCTAATGTCTATTTGTGCCGTTACGGCCATTGAAAATATGACTGCATGTTCTTTGATTGTAAATTTTCCGGGATTCAGTGAATGAATACCAAAAAAAGGAATTCTGAACTTTTTCTTTGGCGAACACCATGCTAAAAAGTTACCTATCGGATGTGACAGCAGCAAAACCAGATACGTTGGAAAATAATAAGTTGTTTTAAAAGATAGATATTGTGACAGACCTGCCATTAAAACAGTAAACAAAATGCCGATTGTCCAGCTACGAACTGTTAAACATGACAACGTCGAATCGTCTTTATTTGAAACAATGCCACCTATTTCTTCAAATGATGACTGCTCTGCATCAATGAAATCGTCGAATAAAACATTTCTATTTGGAATATTGAAATCAACGCTAACAAAACGACGTTTGTTTTTTATAGACGGTAATTCCATTTCATAGGCTTGCCCACCAGAAGCTATCACTAATAGAAATAAACAATATTAGCTATTCCTGTACTATTTTAACAGTATAATTTGACCTTTTTCTGCCAGTAATCAACAGCAGGTATAACCGCTGAAAAAGAGTTTCAAGTCTATTAACTTTAAACGGTGAAGCTCCTCAAAATATGTATTTCTAATTAGAAAGTGAATTTTTAAAACGACTAGAAGTGAGACATACTTTGATAGACAAAGATGTGAAAGTGGCTCGATCGGGAATAAAACCCAGGATTCTCTGTTAGCAGGCCAAAAGCTCTAACCACTGAGCCATCCAAGCACGATCTAACATACGCTCTCAGTTCACATGACTGATTTAACTATCAGAATCTCAAATACGCACGCAGTATCCCTCGTACAACGAGTAGTAGTACTGTCCACCTCTTTATAATGTTATGTCTGTAATTTAACACATCGATTCTCGCTCACTTGACTACCAAATTGTCCCACTTTTAGCCATGTCAAAGTTCACTTTCTAATTCCACATAATTGTTGTTGGTTTACAATTCATCTATATATTTCTAACATGAAAACGTGTAGAAAAACGTGCGAATATCGCATTATTTGAACTAACAATGGAGTTTCATTTCGATTTTCATGCAACAGCATCACAAACTCGAATATAAAAATAAACAAAACTTTCATGAACGAGTATTTTGTCTCAACTTACTGTCATCTTTTGCATGCTTCTCTACCATCTTAGATTATTATTTCAATCTGTATGTGCATCGCCTCTTTTGTCATTAGAACGTATTAGTATCTTTTTCTCTCGTTACACATGATCAGTTAATCTTATAGACGAAGAAAGGCAATAGCAAAAAAGAAAAAGTATTACATTTTCTCTTCGCTTCATCGAAACAGCAAACAATTACTCTGTAATTATCGCACCGATCTCATACACAAAACATCGATCTACTGTACGGACGTATTTTGTCTTTTACTTCTCTCTACTTATACATATATTTTATACATATACATATAAATAACGTGAATCACATCGATTCACTAGGTCCATTGCCTGTAAGTCGACTGAGTGTACTCTCAGAATTATTATTCATTATGTTGCAACTCGATCTTGTTATTACAGAATTGATGCATATTTTTCGCGATGAGAACGTCCATATTTTGTATCTTAGTTTACAGAACCACTTGCTTTAGCTTTTCACCGGTAAGAAAAGTTTATCAGAATTGTCACAGTTCATCGAGACTATGTAATTTGATTTAGTTTTATCTGTCGTACAGATGTTGGAAATGGACGTAATGTTACCGTGATGTTAAATCTATCAGTCTTCTTACTCTTGATAAAAAACCTAAGTGGGGGCAAAGTTTGGCTTTGTTCGTGGAAACAACGCTTAAACCTTCCTTCTGTCGGTGCTCGCTAGAGACCGTTTACAACACGTTATGATTATTTCTCTGACATGACGTGTCAACTTCGTAAAGTACCTTCAAACTTTACATTTTTTCTCGAGAGCCCCCAAAGAACCGCAGAGGTCTAAGAAAATTTTTAAACTACAGACAGTGTTCACGCGTCCCTTCGGCCCGCGCTCGCAGCCAGGATAGGTGCTAAACTTCCCTGTTTCCAGAAAAACCTCGAACGCAAGCACCTCTGCGGACCAATGCCACTGACACTCACTAATGATTCTGTGTATCTACGTCCGGCAAACTAACACACGGCTATTTCTATGTGCGTCCGTCACACTCACTGGTCACTATATGTATCTACGTCCGTCACACTGCCACATGAGTATATGTATGTGAGAGAAACGTAACTTTCTGGTACAATCGATAAAAAAAATGAAAGTGTTCATTAAAAAAATTTGAATGGTACGTTTTGTTCCCCTGTCTTTGCCGAGTATCCTATAAAAATTTCCCAACTGCCAGACTCATACTGG